CAAGTTCAGGACGCGATCTGCAGCCTGTTACACTCCTGCTCTCACAGCAGCTCCACACTGAGAGAACAGTTTAAGGGAACTGCCCCCTCCAGCTCCTGCAGGAAGGCCTGGAACAATGGCCAGTGCAGGAAGGATGTCGCAGGTGGATACAGTACGGTACGTTTGTGCCACGGGGCAGAGCAGACAAGAAGTCACCATGGCTCCAGCAGATCCAGATGCCAGATGTTTTATGACTTTTCAGCATGTTTTGAAAAGCATCGCGTGGATATTCGCAGAGCTGAGGAATAAGACTAATGGCAGGCTGTGTTAATGCTGGGGGGTGTTAACACTGTAAAGGTGGTATTTTGTGGGCTCTTCACTTCGAAGGTGGGAACTAAAAGAGGCTGAAGTGGAAAGGAGGGTGGAAGTTAGCACTGCTCTTGGGAGGGCAGGAATGAAGGTCGAGTGCAAGACTGAAGAAGCTGTCACAAGTGTTTAGGGAGTTAGGATTTTGAGAGAAGATTCTTGAGAGCAGTGAGCATTTGGGTTCTGCAGGCACAGCAGCTGCAGGGCAGCAGTGGCAGAGACAAGGCGAATCTGTTCCCCAGCACAGCCGCTCCTTGACCCTGTGATGGAGGGCTGTCACAGCAGCTGGAGCTTGGAGGTCGAGTCTCCATCCTCTCAGCTCACCCTAGGAGCCTACCTCAACCCAACAGAGCTGCTGAAAGCCCACTGGTATCCCTTCCAGAGCAGCAGTCAACACAGGATAGAGCTCGGGCTTTCGAGGTGTTCATCAGGGAAGAAGGGAGTGTATAGCAGAACAGATAATTCACAACCAAGAGGGAAACCAAAAGGACTTTTCAGGCATGTAAGGCTGATAGGAAATCAGACAGTGTTAAGATCCTACTGGACAAGGACACTTTTATCACTCAGTTCTGCTAGAGTCAAGAGTTATTTTGTGGGCAGCATGGTACTAGTGAATTACTGGGTTCCATTCGCCACAGTTGATATTTAGCTAACCTCTTTCACAAGTATCAAAAATACTTAAATGGCAGAAAAGTAAATAAAGCCTTACCACAAAATCTAGGCATGAGCAATGCTAAACATCACTGGCTTTTGCCACTGGTATTATATATCACGTTTAGGAAACCGGTTCCAGAGGTAATTGGAGTGGGAGCCTGGAGTGGATGGCCTAATGCACTGGCCTTTGCCACTGGTTATGAGCTTGATGCGATCATCAATATGTAGGAAGGTAGCAGGTGTGTTGCCCTTCTGAGCACTGAAAAGATCTTGGCTAAATCCCAGTGAGACAGGAGGGGAAACCCCAGAGCAGATCTCAACAGGATAAAAATTGAGACCCTTCCTCCTGTTATTTGAAACTTTTTCTCTGATACAGGCCAACAATGACTTGGAAATAATGCATGCACCTTCTCTAAGTCTTCTGAATTATTCCTATGTTTTTTTTATCTGGTTTAAATTGGCTGAATAGCTATGGGCTCATTCTGCTGTTACTTTGGTGTTTGCAAGCTTTCAGATTCACTGCATATGCCCTCGTGTTCATATTTGTATTTGTGACTCTCCTAAAGTTTTACAGGACATAGCACATCTCCAAAAATTGTTATTCATTATTTAAAACCCACAAAATGGGAGTCCAAATTCTGTCCATTCTCTGTTGGCCATTATTTATTTTCCATTCATAAACTTTTATCAAGTAACACCAGGCAGCATTCAGGCAGCGCAGGCGAAGTGAGCCATTCACAACCACGTTGCAGTCTGATAGTCAGTCACCCGTAGACGCTGGTTGGTGAATCATACTGAGCAGTGAGTACACCCTAAATGTCAGGATCCTTTCACATGTGAAGGAAGTGTTGCAGTTTTACTCACTTCATCTGTGTATTGCTCTCTGGAGGCTTTCATCCCAACATGTTTCTTTTTACAATAATTCAGGGACATATTAGGAAATCTGGAATTCTGCTAAATTCAAGCAAACTTCTTGCTGAGTATGACATTTAGGATCTTAATTCTGCAACGTCAAACATATGGCCACATAGCAACACACTAAAATGTGAATTTACTGGGGGTTGCAAGAGGAATCCTACATATGAGCATACAGGGCTCTGCTCAGACAATAAAGACGCCTGCACGCTGCAGCTGTAAGTGGAAGGGAGACTACAGCTCCACAGGGTTTTCCTGTCACCTCTGCAGCCTTATAAGCCCATTTGTGGGTGGAATTGCAGAGTTAGCAGCTAAGGGCAAAAGATTTTGCCTATGAGTGGATCTTACCATGCTAGTTATAATTGACTTTTGCCTGGATAATGGCAAGTGCCAGGGAGGAGGTGAGGAAGGAGATACAAACCTCTTCACTATAAATATTTCTTATTGAAAATATCCTGGAAGAAATATTCCTGAGAGTCTCAGTTTCACCTGTTTCTTAACCCTGTTGGTATTGCTTAGATGGCAGTGACACCCTGTGGTACCAGCCACTGGTGCAGCACTCGGCGGTAGTTCCTTCTGGAAGCCAGGATGAGATTGCAATAACAAAAAGTCCAGGAATGTTTTTAATTCTTCTTCACAGACCACATCCTCCATCCTTCCTGAGTGCCTTTGCACTAAACAGGATGTACCTTTCTGGATTTAAATGTCCTGGAAGTAGCTGCTGCCTCTTTCTGAGCATTTGTGCAGCACCTGCGTGGTGAGTCTCTCTGGTTCGACTCACATTTCTTGGCTTTACAGTAAGAGGAATGAGCTGTCGTGACAAACCATCGCATTACGGTACACCTTCGCTATAGAACTTGGTGAAAATGCTTGCTGCCTCGCTGCTTGCCCCAGTGAGCAAGGAGAGCTTGTGGTTGGAGGGGACAGTGCTCATCTTGGGTATTTTCTCTCTTTCAGGGGGTTCACGAGTCGAAAGGTGTGACTGAAGATTATTTGAAACTGGAATCCCTGATCCAGAAAGTCGTTTCTCCTTACTTGGGCACGTACGGTCTGTATTCCAGTGACGGACCCTTCACGCACTCTTCCTGTATCTTGGGTAAGAATAACAGAGGCTCAATTTGACACAGCACAGAGGGCTTTACCAAAACCTTGGTCCACACAGGGCCAAGGTCCACACAAGAGGAGACTGCCAGCACTAACACAAAGCAGTCAGGCTCCTTTTCTAAGGCCATGCTCTTTGCAATGTGCAAAGTCACAGTGAAACACTTGCTAGTGGCAGAAGATGAAAACAGATCATCATTAATAAATCTGTGAATCTAGAGTGTGTTTAGCCTTTCCATTCTACCTTTTAATGAGAGAGCTTTAAGATGGGATGCTTTATGGACAGTGAGAGGGAGAAGCAAGAAGCCATTTCTAGAGTGCTGAGTAGTGTCTGTTCATTAGTGCACAAAGATCATACAAGGCTGTTTAAAGCAGGGAAGAGAGTAGGAATTTGTCTTAGAGAAGACTAATCGATAAGCCTTCAAACATGTAAAACCCTTCTGCAGAGTGGAAGGTAATAAGCTGTTCTCCATCCCACTGGAGATAAGAAACAGAGTGGACCACACATAGCAGGGGAAATTCTGATTACATGGAAGGAAAAAGTCTCTATTGTCACATAAACCACCTCTGGAGGCTTTTGAATCTTCACTGCTAGAGGTGCTGTATGCATGTCACATACATAGGTATCCAAAAGGAGCAAGGTGAGTAAACATGGTCCTGCCTGGTGGCAGGGGCTGAGTGAGTGACCTTCTTGAGTCCCTTCCAGCTTATTTTCTATGATTCTTTGAGCTCTGAAGCATTCAGTGTCTTCTGTGAAGGCAAGATTTGGCTGAGATGAAGGTCTTTTGATTTTCCCATGTAGTAATAGAATCTGTTGAAATTGTGAGGGGAATGCTACCAGCATAAATCAAAAAGGAAATGCGGTAGTACCTGAGTATTTTAGAGAAAACGGGGGAAAATAAGTTCAACTGCATGTTTTCTGTGCGGTCAATTTAATCTGTTTGCTTGTCAGAAATGGTCAATAAGGTAGTTGATTTTCTCTTGAAGCTGAAAGGAAGAATGGTTGTATTGCAGTAAGCGTTTAAGAAACAAATCAGTTTTATGTGAATAAACAGAGGCCAGTTATTTATGGAAAATGGTTCAGGGTTACTACTTTGTATCCATTGCTTGCCGTTAAAAGGCCACAAGCATTTAAACGGAGCCTCAAATGGACATTTTCTGAATACAAGCTTTTGTATGTCAGCAGAGAAAAAATGCACCCAAAGAGAAAAAAAACTCCAGTCAAATGGATTGTTAGAAAATAAACGTTGTATTACATGACTGCAGAAGATAGGAAGGTTTTGGTGGACCAGGCACTTCCCCTTGCTGCAGTCTGGGGTGTAGATCTGTAGCAGTACCCCTGAATAGGTCTTAACTATAGTCAATGAACTTGGATGCAAGGGAGCTGACTGCATAAATCTTTGCTGCTTTTGAACTAACGCATCTAGTTCTGTCCAGCTATTTTGGTAGCATGGTTTAAAGCTGTGACATATTGTCCTTGGAACTGGTGAGGCCACTGACATCTTTTCTTTCCTGTCTGGCCAGCACACCCGGCCTTCCCTTTCCAGCCAAGCCTTGGTGTGACCAAAAAGCCAGAGTTCCTGTGGCAAGGCAGTCCCAGGGAAACTTTTCTGTTCACCAGGTCAAACTCCTAACAAAGAAAAAGTCCAAAAGGGAACTTAGATCAGTTGATTTCCCTGCTGAGGCAGACACAACTGCAAAATACAATCTTAAGTACAGAAACTGGCTTTTTTGGTAGTACAACATATGATTGGAATTTGTGTCCAGGTAAGCACATAATTATACATAAGTATAATTCAGAAGAGACTGGCATTTGTAAAGGAAATTGCATGGTTTGCAGGGGAACATATACCAGCATCCTGATTTAAAGCAGACAATTTATATGCAGTGGCTGTGGTTGACTTACAAAGTGTGACTTGATTCCCTTCTCCAGCCATGCCCCTTTTGTGGGAATGGCGAAGTGAGAGTAGCAGGAAGAAAGCTTCAAAACTGAGACCTGTTATTCACACCACTTGTATTTTAGCACAAGTGAGTCCGAGCACTGAGGTCTACAAAAAGTTTGCATGATGGTCATTTTGATCTAGCTGCCGGAGAGCGCTCCAGCCCTAAATCACTGGTAGAGGATCTCCGTGCTGACTTGCTGCCACCTGCTGCTCATTCTTTGGAAAGAGCCCACTTGGTTGACAGCAGCATTCATACAATCACTGCCCAACAGAGTGCAGGTTTGTTCCCCAGAAAGGTTGCTGTGGGCACTGCCTTCCAGTTAACGTTTCCAAACACTCTTGGTGCTCTCTCCTTGTGTGGTCTCTGAACGATGCTTTGAATCAGAGTTTTTCCAGAATTATTAGTAAGACTGCCTGTCTTAATCCTTGTGCCCCAAATTTGAAGAGACCTGATTTTCCCAGAGTGAGTGAAAAAGTTAAATTTTAGCTACTGGAAGTTAGTGATGGCCTTTATAGCCTGAACAAGAACAGAATTGCACTTTCTGTTCTTGTGAAAAGAAAGTGTTTACGATTGTATGTCAGGTCTCCCACAATTTTTACTGGTTTACTCCAGATGCTGAAGTTGTATGAATATAAAGGAATGTCAGCTATATATAGTCTTCAATATGCTAAGAAAATCTAGGAAATCTGAAGCCTGTGGATCTACAAAACCAGCAAGTTTCTGTCCTTCAAGAAAAGCTCATGAATATTCAGGGCTTGACTTTTCCTTTCAACACTTGTAATGATTAGTACCACGAAAAGAGGAGACTCTGTAGATATTACTCTGGATCTTTCTCTATTTACAGAGAAGCGGTTCTTCAGGCGTTCAAAATCGGGTGACATCCTCGCCAAGAACCCCGTGGTGCGATCGAAAAGCTACAACAATCCACTACTGACACCCGTGGCCGAGTATGAAACCGAGGGCGTGGCTGCCAATGGAACCGGCATCCGAAGGCACTCTGTTTCGGAAATGACCTCCTGCCTGGAGCTCCAGGGGTACTCCAACCTCACCACCATCATGGACAACGGCTCCAAGAGCTCCATGACAGCTACGAAAAGCTCGCTATCCGGAGACCAGGAGAGGCCCAGCACCGGCTCAGTGCAATGCTCTAGCAAACTCAGCACGGTTGAGCAGCAGAAAGGACTCTTCCACTCGATGGACGACCCACACAGGTCTTTTGAGCTGGACAGGGACCCTTCCTTGATTCCAGTTCCCTCTTCCAGCCCTGAGAACATAGTGGATCAGATTTTGGAGTCGATCGACTCTGATTCTGAAGGCATTTTTATTGATTTTGGCCGAGGCCGTTCCAATTCATCAGCATACAATGTGGACGTGAACAGACAGAGCATCATGTGAAGGACATTGGAAGACAAACCTTGGGTTTTAATATTATATATGGAAGTTACTAATGCGTTGAATCAGACTATGGGCAAGCTGTGTATGTCTGGGGCAGAACTTCTGCTGTAGGTCATCACAGCTGTACTGTGCACAACCACAAGTTTACAGCAAGCAGGAATCTGCTGCGAGGGGGAAGAAACTCCAACCACTTCTCCCTGTCCCCATCACTCTGCAGTCAGGTTTCCTATTGTCTTTATAAACTTAGGGGTTCACAAGCTGACAAGTGTCTGGTAAAATGCTATTAGTGCGGCTGGCAGCGGTCGTTCAGTAAAACAGCCTAGCAAATAGCTGTGTTCACTTCTAAGTTTCTCAAGAGATTTCCTGTAGATGGCAGGTTGTTCTCTGAACTGTAACACCTCAGCCAGAGTAAAAACATGTCCTTTTAAAAAAAAAAA